AAATTAGAATACAGCCATCTTCTGAAATTCAAAAGGAATAGAATAAAACAGAATAGAATAGAAAATAAAAGAATCGAAAATAAAGGAATAAAATAGAATAGAAAAGAAAAAAATTTTAATAGCATAGAATAGAATAACTAGAAAAATTATAGCTGTCTTCTGAAATTCGAATCTCGAATAGAATAGAACCAGCTATTCTTCACAGTGAATTTGGATTGATTAGATATTTCAGATTTGAATTCGATTTGAACACTTCTACTCCATTGGAAAATGTTGAATCCAGTTGAAAATGAATAAATGAAAGTTAATTAGTAACTTAATGAATTGGTCTAAAATGGAAAAAAAAATTACATTCTGCACATGTCTAAATACACTTCTCAAAAAAATTAAAGGAACATTTTTTAATTTTGACCCCCCTGACCCTCTGCCTTATCTACGCCACTGCATAGAGAAAAGTGCATGTGCTTAACATTAAATATTAAAATAGATCAAATTTATACAATTTCATAAAACTTCATAGAAAATGTGCTCTGCAAAAATCACACAATTGCACTGCTCAAAAAAAATGAAAGGAAGACTTTTTAAAATTAGAGTCTAGCATCAAGTGAATGAAACTCCTGGGGATTTTGATCTGGTCAGGTAAGTAGCAGAGGGGGCTGTTAATCAGTTTCAGCTGCTTTGCTGTTAATGAAATTAACAACAGGTGCACTAGATGGGCAGCAATGAGACGACCCCCAAAACAGGAATGGTTTTACAGGTGGAGGCCACTGAAATTTTTTTCCCTACTCATCTTTTCAGTTTTTCACTAGTTTTGCATTGGCTAGAGTCAGTGTCACTACTGGTAGTATGAGGCCATACCTGGACCCTACAGAGGTTGCACAGGCAGTTCAACTCCTCCAGGATGGCACATCAATATGTGCCATTGCCAGAAGGTTTGCTGTGTCTCCCAGCACAGTCTCAAGAGCATGGAGGAGATTCCAGGAGACAGGCTGGAGAGCTGGACAGGGCCGTAGAAGGTCCTTAACCCATCAGCAGGACCGGTATCTGCTCCTTTGTGGGGGCCATACAGACTACTGAGGACCATTCTGAGTTGCTGCAATGAAATTTCAGCAAAATGGACTCGCCTGCTGCATCATTTTTTCCACTTTGATTTTCGGGGTGTCTTTGAATTCAGTCCTCTATAGGTCGATTATTTTCATTTCCATCAATCGATGGGCCATCCTTACGTTCCTAATGCAGGCAATATTGGTTCAAAAATCGGCCAAAAAAAAATCGGCTGATTTTCACACCATTAATGGGTTAATTGGTCGGCTGTTTTTCTGGATTTTGGCACATTTTTTTTATCGGTAAAGTTGGAAAAAAATCGGCCGATTTTCACGGCAATGATGGGCAAATCGGCCGATCTTTTTACCGATAAAAAAATCTGCACATGAGCCATGACCTGCAAGAAAAAGAAGAAGAAAAAGAAGAATTCCAGTCCACTATTATATTTTATATGAAAAGTATTGCGGTTGCAACAATGTATCCATTTGTATCCGAATAAAAACATCTGTATCTGAAATGGATACAAATAGATACAATGTTGCAACCGCAATACTTTTACATGTCAAATATAATAGCGGAGCTCTCTGCAGGGACAGAAGTAATAAAATGCCGGCCGTAGACGGGACGACAATCGGACGATTTTTTTTTATCGTTGGTGGTAACGTTGGTTTATTGAACGACCGATTTTTTTTTTTTTTTAAAACGGCCGGTTTTCGACCCGTCTATGACCTGCATAACACATTACCCCGTCCACATCAGTGTAGATATCCAGCAGGACATTCCTCCCCATTGAGATCTGATGGGTTTTCAAAGTGTTCCTTTCATTGTTTTTGAGCCAAGTATATACCTCTGCGTTTCTCTAGCTCCCTGTATACTCCTGGGGTCCATCCTAGAGCCTCATATACATAGAATTATAGCGGCCCCCTTTTTCCAGAACCCACATATCGCAGTGAGGGGTAGGAGCAGCCTTGACTTTGCTGGTAGTGGATTTTTGGGTGGACATGTCTGGTTGTCAGACGGCAGGAGAGCCCTGTGTGTACCGTGGGAGGATCTTCTTGGTGGTCAGCGATGCCGATCTGACAGATGAACCCCATTGGTCTGTGCAGCAGATCGGACAGGACAGAGCGAAGTGCGGATGTCCGGCCAGATATTGTTACAACTGCTGAGTGTGCTCATAACCTCCCCGGCCCACAACTTTCATTCACTGGATTTCAGTCCTTTCACATCCTGGGGTCTCAGCATTACACTGGGGGGGGGGTGACTATGGTGGTCTGGATCCAATTGTAGTCTATCTAGGAATGCCCACTGCTCCAAACTGATATCCACCTATCAGTGCACTTTTATCTTTGCATACCTCCTCCCAGGAGCCAGCACTCTGCTTGCATTAGGGGTAAGGAGTTCTGTGGTGTTTTCAGGAAGCTATGACAGCACCTCTGCTGGCCCCTCCCAGGAGCCAAGATCTGCCTGCATTGCATAGAGAAGCACAGAGATCATTGATGACATCACTGGTGGAGATGAGCTAATGAAATTAATTTTATTCCAGGCAGGATGGTCTTTTTGATGAGACGGGTTTTCAGGATTCACACCACAAAAACGCACTCCAGATACGCTTTTTGCTGACAGTTCACACCACACGCAGTTCCGGTGCAGTTTGCCATGTTCCAGTACGGTTCTGTGCAGAAAAAATGCAACATGCTCTACTTCTAGGCAGTGCTTTACATATGTGTATATATACATATTGTACACTCACATCAGTCCCTAACCCTCAAGGGGCGTACAATCTAAGGTCCCTAACCCTCAAGGGGCGTACAATCTAAGGTCCCTAACCCTCAAGGGGCGTACAATCTAAGGTCCCTAACCCTCAAGGGGCGTACAATCTAAGGTCCCTAACCCTCAAGGGGCGTACAATCTAAGGTCCCTAACTCACATTCATACATACACATACTAGGGACAATTTAGACAGGAGCCAATTCACCTACCAGCATGTCTTTGGAGTGTGGGAGGAAACCGGAGTACCCGGAGGAAACCCACACAGGCACAACATGCAAACTCTAGGAAGGTGGTGCTGAGGTTGGGATTCAAACCAACAACCCGAGTACTGCCAGGCAGAAGTGCTAACCACTTAGCCACTGTGCTGCCCAGCAAAGTTACAACCGCCCCACAACTGTGCACAATGTACAGTTGCGGTTGTTTGCTATTTTTTTCTGCACCGGAAACTCACTGGAATTGACTGCACTGGTGTGAACTTGGGCCATCGGAATACATGGGAAACAGTGTGCATGCATGTTTGAGGCAGAAAAAAAAAACGCACTGGACTGCATCTGGTGTGAACTAGCCCCCAGGGCCAGTTCACACTATAGAAACACAGTCCAGATGCGTTCCGGATGTGTTTCCGCATGCACCTTTTTTTTTTAATGCATTCCAGTTCATTTTTTCCCTTCACTTTTTCTTCCATTTAAATAGGGACATGTGCGTTTTTGGTGTGTTCTGGATGTGTTTTACCACGTTCCAGTGCAGTTCTGTGCAGGTAAAATGCATCATGTATAGAGCAGTACAGTGGCTAAATGGTCAGCACTCCACCTGGCAGTACTAGGGTCATTGCTTCAAATCCCAGCCACGACACCACCTGCTGGAGTTTGCATGTTCTCCCTGTGCCTGCGTGGGTTTCCTCCAGGTACACCGGTTTCCTCCCACACTCCAAAGACATGCTGGAAGGTAAATTGGCCCATGTCTAAATTGGCCCTAGTATGTGTATGTATGAATGTGAGTTAGGGACCTTAGATTGTACACCCCTTGAGGGTTAGGGACCTTAGATTGTACACCCCTTGAGGGTTAGGGACCTTAGATTGTACACCCCTTGAGGGTTAGGGACTGATGTGAATGTACAATATATATGTAAAGAGCTGCATAAACTGACAGCGCTATATAAGCACCTGAAATAAATCATGTTCTGCTTTTTTTCTGCAACCGGAACGCACTGGAACTGCAGCACTGATGTGAACGATGACATTGACAACCATATCACCTACTTTCTGTGCATTTTGGATGCAGAAAAAGAGCAGCTGAAACACACGTAGTGTGAACCGGCCCTTAAGGTTTTTAGGTGCCATTCAAATAAACAGCATCTGAAAATTGCACAGTGCTTTTGTTCATGGTAGCAGAGAATTTTGAAATTGATGTGATTCTGCCTGCGATTCCAAACACCAACGTGTAAGCGGAACCAGGGGCGGACTGACCATTTGGAAACTCGGGCACTGCCCGAGGGCCCGGGGTCAGTAGGGGGCACCACGAGATGCCCCTGGTACCTTTTTCATAGGCTTTTTTGAGTTTGGGCAAGGACATAGGGGCCCCATGATCCCCTATTGCGTGGGGGCCCCATGAGTTGTCAGTCTGCCCCTGAGCGGAACCTTAGAGAGGGTTGCTGATCTGTCGCACGTATCCCCTGGGCACCATCCAACTTTGCTGAGAGCTGTTAGAGCAGAAAAGAGAAACCTCAGAGGAACTGAGCCCACAATAAACTGACACTTCCGGGAGTGTCGGTACTCTGTATCCACTGCAGCTCCCTGGCTCCTCCCCCTGCATTACGTCACTGCATCCTCCTGTATTGGATCTCTCGTCTGTCACCGAGCAGTTGCCAGTAGAACACATCCATCACCATATTGTATCATTCTACAGAGGAAGGCTCTGACACTTCAATAAGAAGACATATGCTGGTTGCCAGCTCCGCTCTGTGGGCGTTGACGCCCAACGATCACTATACTGTCAACCTTCCGCCCGCCCCCGGCAGCGACGTCAAACCATAGTAACATCCTAGCAATCACGTGATCAACAGGTCGGCACCCTCCCTTAAGAAAGATGGCGTCTATTCTGGGTCACGTGCCTATGAGCGGAGCGGTCAGCAGTTCCGGGTCAGCCAGAGTCCAATATGGCGGCGGGCAGAGGCGGCTGATCTCGCCATGTCCGCCCTCGGCCGGTATGACCGGCACTGCGACTCCATCAACTCGGACTATGGAGAGTCAGCGCGAAGCTGCGGCGGCCCCGAGCAGGAGGAGCTTCACTATATCCCCATCCGGGTCCTGGGACACGGGGCCTACGGGGAGGCCACCCTCTACCGGAGGACCGAGGTATTGCTTGCCCTTCCCCGGGGGCGGGGTCACTCTATCGGAAGTGGGGGCGGAGCTCTCTCTGCCTGGTGACACGAACTGCATAGCCCCTCCCCGGGGGTGGAGTTATTGTATAGATGGGGGGGTGGGACTCTTTCTACCTGATGAGTACTGTATGCCCCGCCCTGGGGGTGGGGTCACTATATGTGGGTGAGGGGTAAGCCTTACAGACGGTTAACGTACAGCTGCCCCTGTGTGGGTGTTTCCTGTACTGGAGGAATGCTGTATTGTGCTCTGCTCCTTGGGGGTGGGATCCGAAAAGGCTCATCTGGGAGGAGGAGCTATGAGAAAAGAGTCCTCAGGGAAAGGGGGAGGCAAGAAATGGCTCCTTGGGGAAGGAGCCAGAAATGCTCTTTGGAGAGAAGTGTTGCATGGCAAAGAATCCTTGAGGAAGGGTTGCGGTAAAGGCTTCTTCAGGAAAGGGGGGTGTTAAAGGCTTCCTGGGGACAGGGAATGTGGGTAAGGCTCCTTAGGAAATTAGGATCAGAGGAGCCCTTGGGGGGGGGGGCCTTGTCAAGGGTGTTTTGGGGAGAGAATGGTTCCAAAAAGGCTCTTCACAGGGGGCCTGGTGGGAAACGTTTCTCAGGGAAAGGGGTGTCGGAGGTTCCTTGGAGAGAGGGGGGTGCAGGAAGGCTCCTAGGGGTGAGGAAGGAGTGGGAAGGATCCTTGAGGAGGAAGCTGGGGCATGCAAAATGCTTTTTGGGGTGGAATGTGTATGGGAAAGACCTTCAAGGCAGGAAGAGGGGTTGCAGGAAGGACCTCTCCAGGGGGAGGTGGGTTGTAGAAAAAGGTTCCCCAAGAAAGCGGGGCATGAGAAAAGCTCCATGGGCAGGAAGGGGTGCAGGAAAACTTTTTGAGGAGCAAGGGGGTTGGGTGCCAGAAAGGCTTCTCAGTAAGATTGAGGGGGAAGGGGGGGGTCTCGTAGAGGGTGTTTTGGGGAGAGTGTGGTGCCAGATAAGAAGAAAGGGGGGGGGAAAGGTTCATCAGGGAGAGTGATGGGTCAGGGAGAAGGTGAGGAGGGATTGAGAATATGGGTAGTGCAGATAGGAGTTCCAATGTGGGAAGAGAGGGGTGCCACAAAGGCTCCTGGGGGAAAGGGGCATGTTGAGGGTTTTTTGGGGAGAGAATGTGATGCCAGGGAGGCTTTTCAGAGGGAGTGTCCTTTGGGCTCCTTGGGGAGAGGGGTTGCAGGAAAAGCTCTTCATGTAAGGGAGGGCATGGAAAAGGCTTCTTAGGCAGGAGAGGGTGCAGGAAAGGTTCCTCAGGAAGAGGGATGTGCCAATGAGGCTCCTCAGGGGAAGGAGGTAGGTTGTTCGTTCGTCTGACACCATTGTCTTCTGCATAGCAGCATACAGTAATAAGGTTCAAAACAACACACTTGAGGGTGGGAAATTGGTGTCCTATTTGGGGGGGGTTTCAGGAAATATTCCTTGAGGAAAAGAACATAGGAAAGTTTTCATGGGGAAGAAGGCTGGAAAGGCTTCTGCTGATGAACTGTTAGAGGTTGCTGTGGCCCGGTAGAGGAATATGTCTCGTCCTCTGACTCTGTTCTTCCTGTGAACTCTTTCCCCCCAAGGATGACTCGCTGGTGGTATGGAAGGAGGTTGGCTTGGCTCGACTTTCGGAAAAGGAACGCCGCGATGCTCTGAATGAGATTGTCATTTTGTCCCTCCTCCAGCATGATAACATCATAGCGTACTATAACCACTTCCTGGACAGCAACACACTGCTGATCGAGCTGGAGTACTGCAATGGTGAGATGAATTCCAGCTGCTCCTCCATGTGAAGCTGAACTGTCCTCTCACCTCCATCCTTCTCTTCACAGGTGGTAATCTGTTTGACAAGATCGTCCGTCAGAAGGGCCAGTTGTTCCAGGAGGAGGTGAGATGGGGGTGGGAGGTATGGAGTTTCTAGGAGAAGGTGAGAGGTGATGGGGGGGTCTGGAGTTCCAGGAGGAGTTGGGGATGGGATGGAGTTCCAGGAGGAAGGGAAAAGTAGGGAGAGCGGCTATAGAGTTCCAGGAGGAGGTGAGAGGTTGGGGTATGGAGTTCCAAAGGGAGGTGAGAAGTGGGGGTATAGTGTTCCAGAAGGAGGTGGGGGGGAGGGGGCATGGAGTTCCAGAAGGAGCTGAGAAGTGGGGGTATAGTGTTCCAGGAGGAGGGGGGGTATGGAGTTCCAGGAGGAGGGGAAAAATAAAGCGAGGGTTTATATAGTTCCAGGAGTAGGTGGGGGAGGGAGTATAGAGTTCAAGGAGGAGATTACATAGTTAGTGTGGCTGAAAAAAAGACAAAAGTCCATCCAGTTCAACCATTCTAACAAAAAAAAAGTTATAATCCTACACCCACAGTTGATCCAGAGGAAGACAAAAAACCCAGCAAAGCACAATCCAATTTGCTCCTGCAGGGGAAAAAATTCCTTCCTGATCCCCCGAGAGGCAATCGGATATTCCCTGGATCAACTTTACCTATAAATGTTATATCCAGTTATATTCTGTGTATCTAAGAAAGAATCCAGGACTTTCCTACAGCAATCCACTGAGCCGGCCAGAACCAACTCTTGAGGGAGTCTATTCCACATTTTCACAGCTCTCACTGTGAAGAAACCTTTCCATGTTTGGAGATTTACGTTTCTTTTCCTCCAGCCATAAAACGTGCCCCCTTGTCCTCTGTGATGACCTCAGGGTGAATAACTCTACAAGTTCACTATATGAACCACTGATGGACTGATACATGGAGATCATATCCCTCCTTATGTATTATACATGGAGATCATATCCCCCCCTTATGTATTATACATGGTGATCATATCCCCCTTATGTATTATACATGGAGATCATATCCCCCCTTATGTATTATACATGGAGATCATATCCCCCCTTATGTATTATACATGGTGATCATATCCCTCCTTATGTATTATACATGGTGATCATATCCCCCCTTATGTATTATACATGGAGATCATATCCCCCCTTATGTATTATACATGGAGATCATATCCCCCCTTATGTATTATACATGGAGATCATATCCCCCCTTATGTATTATACATGGTGATCATATCCCCCCCTTATGTATTATACATGGAGATCATACCCCCCCCCCCTTATGTATTATACATGGTGATCATATACCCCCCTTATGTATTATACATGGTGATCATATACCCCCCTTATAAATTATACATGGAGATCATATCCCCCCCCCTTATGTATTATACATGGTGATCATATCCCCCCCTTATGTATTATACATGGAGATCATATCCCCCCTTATGTATTATACATGGAGATCATATCCCCCCTTATGTATTATACATGGAGATCATATCCCCCCTTATGTATTATACATGGTGATCATATCCCCCCTTATGTATTATACATGGTAATCATATCCCCCCCCTTATGTATTATACATGGAGATCATATCCCCCCTTATGTATTATACATGGAGATCATATCCCCCCTTATGTATTATACATGGAGGTCATATCCCCCCTTATGTATTATACATGGAGATCATATCCCCCCTTAAGTATTATACATGGAGGTCATATCTCCCTTAATCTCCTCTTCTCAAGAGAGAATAAATTCAGTTCCTCTGATCATTCCTCATAGCTGATCTCCTCCATGCCTCTTATCAGTTTGGTTTCCCTTCTCTGTACTTTCTCCAGTTCCCCAATGTTCTTTTTGTGAATTGGTGCCCAAAACTGAACTGCATATTCCAGATGAGGACTTACTAATTATTTGAATTATTTGTACTGGGGGGGGGGTGGGGTGTAATATGATATCTCTCTCTCTGGAGTCTATACCTCTTTTAATACAAGAGAGGATTTTGCTCGGTTTAGAACCCCCAGCTTGGCATTGCTGCCATTATTAAGCTTGTGATCTACCAGAACCCCCAGATCCTTCTCCACCATTGATCCCCCCAGTTTGTGCCCCCCCCCTAGTATATATGATGCATGCATATTCTTAGCCCCCAAGTGCAGAACCTTTCATTTATCAACATTAAACCTCGTTTGCCACATAGTTGCCCAATTACACAGAGCATTGAGGTCGGCTTGTAAGTTGGAGACATCCTGTAAGGACATTATTCCCTGGCACAGCTTGGTGTCATCTGCAAAGACTGAAATGGGATTTATAATCCCAGACCCTATATTGTTTATATAAATATATTAAAAAGTACGGTGAGAGATGGATGAAGGGGTATAGAATGCACTTGCTTGTCAAGGACTAAGGGGCAGCCCAGTATGTCATTGTCTTGTGTCCTTTTTATGTCTGCAGATGGTCATTTGGTATCTCTTTCAAATCGTGTCTGCGGTAAGCTGCATTCACCGAGCTGGGATACTTCATAGGTAAGTGTACATGTCCCATGGTCAGCATATAGGGCGATGATGGATATACTGCCCTCCTAGTCGTAACATCTTGGTGGGCTCATTGCCCCTAAGGGTGACAGCACAGAGTGGAGGCGATAGTGGGTATACTGCCCCCTAGTGGTATCATCTTGAAGGGGAGGTGATGGTGGGCACACTGCCCCTACTGGTCACATCATGGAGGTGAGGTTGGGGCTTGGTGGCTTTTTAGTGTTACATCTCCAGTTTCTCTTTACAGAGACATTAAGACATTAACATCTTCCTAACCAAAGCCAACCTAATCAAACTGGGGGGACTACGGACTGGCAAAGCAGCTGGGCTCCGAGTTCTCGATGGCAGAAACGGTGAGCTTCTTATTGTATAGAACACAGAAGAATTTATTTACATCTCATCAGTTTCAGAATCTGACAGGGAGAGAATACAACTAAATGCCAACCACACACATCCTACTGGTTGAGCAGAGAGATTCAAATTTGTACAAAAAAGACTATTCTTGACACGTAGCTATATCCTATATTTTCTATATAATGTGCTGAGAGTAGATCTCAACCTCACAGGGAGGGCATGGTTTGCAATGAGTCACTTGACTCCATAGACTTGCCATTGTAAGAGGAAGTATTAATGACCTACTGTGTTGTGCTGCAAAGCAAGGAACTGAGCCCATGTAATGGGCAAACGTGTCTGTATCATGTGTCAGGATTTATGCATGTACATACAAAGTCCCTCATTGCTGTATATATATGTTCGTACAATCCAGTGTGCTGTGGTTACATACTTGTATAATATGTTTTCAGTGTGTGGGCACCCTGTATTAACATGTCCCCCGAGCTGTGCCAGGGGGTGAAGTATAGTTTTAAGTCGGACATCTGGGCAGTGGGATGTGTGCTGTATGAGCTGCTGACTCTGACAAGAACCTTTGATGCAACGGTAAGTGTCTGTTCTCCGCTCTCCTCTTGGTTCCCTCTCTCCTCCCTCGGTTCTTCTCTCTCTCCACCTCGGTTCTTCTCTCTCTCCACCTCGGTTCTTTTCTCTCTCTCCTCGGTTTCTCTTCTCTCTCTCTCTCTCCTCGGTTTTCTCTTCTCTCTCTCTCCTCCTCGGTTCTCTTCTTCTCTCTCTCTCCCCCTCCTCGGGTTCTCTTCTCTCTCTCTCTCCCCTCCTCGGTTCTCTTCTCTCTCTCTCTCCCTCTCCCCTCGGTTTCTCTTCTCTCTCTCTCTCTCCCTCCTCGGTTCTCTTCTCTCTCTCTCTCCTCTCCCCTCCTCGGTTCTCTTCTCTCTCTCTCCCCTCCTCGGTTTCTCTTCTCTCTCTCTCCCCCCTCTCTTCTTCTCTTCTCTCTCTCTCCCCTCCTCGGTTCTCTTCTCTCTCTCTCTCCCCTCCTCGGTCTCTTCTCTCTCTCTCTCTCCCCCCCCCTCGGTTCTCTTCTCTCTCTCTCTCCCCTCCTCGGTTCTCTCTCTCTCTCTCTCTTCCCCCTCCTCGGTTCTCTTCTCTCTCTCTCTCTCCCCTCCCGGTTTCTTCTCTCTCTCTCTCTCTCCCCCCTCCTCCCGTTCTCTTCTCTCTCTCTCTCTCCCCCCTCCTCGTTCTCTTCTCTCTCTCTCTCTCCCCTCCTCCTTTCCTCTCCCTCTCTCTCCCCTCCTCGGTTCTCTTCTCTCTCTCTCTCTCCCCTCCTCGGTTCTCTTCTCTCTCTCTCTCCCCCCTCCTCGGTTCTCTCTCTCTCTCTCTCTCTCTCCCCTCCTCGGTTTCTCTTCTCTCTCTCTCTCTCCCCCCCTCCTCGTTTCTCTCTCTCTCTCTCTCCCCTCCTCGGTTCTCTTCTCTCTCTCTCTCTCTCCCTCCTCGGTTCCCTTCTCTCTCTCTCTCTCCCCCCTCCTCGGTTCTCTTCTCTCTCTCTCTCTCTCTCTCCCTCCCTCGGTTCTCTTCTCTCTCTCTCTCTCTCTCTCCCCTCCTCGGTTCTCTCTCTCTCTCTCTCTCTCCTCCCCCTCCTCGGTTCTCTCTCTCTCTCTCTCTCCCCCCACTCGGTTCTCTTCTCTCTTCTCTCTCTCCCCTCACCCTCCTCGGTTTCTCTTCTCTCTCTCTCTCTCTCTCTCGGGACCTCTTCACTCTCTCTCTCCTTCCTCGGTCCTCTTCTCTCTCTCTCCCTTCCTCGGTCCTCTCTTCTCTCTCTCCCTTCCTCGGGTCTCCTCTCTCTCTCTCTCTCTCTCTCTCCCTTCCTTGGTTCTCTTCTCTCTCTCTCTCTCTCTCCCTTCCTCGGTTCTCTTCTCTCTCTCTCTCCCTTCCTCCTCGGTTCTCTTCTCTCTCTCTCTCTCTCCTCCCTTCTTCGGTTCTCTCTTTCTCTCTCTCTCTCCCTCCTCGGTTCTCTTCTCTCTCTCCCCTCCTCGGTTCTCTTCTCTCTCTCTCCCCTCCTCGGTTCTTCTCTTCTCTCTCTCTCTCTCCTCCTCGGTTCTCTTCTCCCTCTCTCTCGATTCTCTCTTCTCTCTCCCACTCTCCCCCCCCTCGGTTCTCTCTCTCTCTCTCTCTCTCTCTCTCTCCCCTCCTCGTTCTCTTCTCTCTCTCTCCCCCTCCTCGGTTTCTCTCTCTCTCTCTCTCTCTCTCCCCTCCTCGGTTTCTCTTCTCTCTCTCTCTCTCTCTCTCTCCTCTCTCTCTCCCCCTCCTCGGTTCTCTTCTCTCTCTCTCTCGGTCCTCTTCTCTCTCTCTCTCCCCTCCTCGGTTCCTTCTTCTCTCTCTCTCCCCCTCCTCGGTCCTCCTCTCTCTCTCTCTCTTCTCCTCTCTCCCCTCCTCGGTCCTCCTCTCTCTCTCTCTCTCTCTCTCTCTCCCCTCCTCGGGGCCCCCTCTCTCCTCTCTCTCTCTCTCTCTCTCTCTCTCTCTCCCTTCCTCGGTTCTCTTCTCTCTCTCTCTCTCTCTCTCTCTCTTCCCTTCCTCGGTTCTCTTCTCTCTCTCTCTCTCTCTCCCTTCCTCGGTTCTCTTCTCTTCTCTCTCTCTCTCTCTCTCTCTCTCCCCTTCCTCGGTTCTCTTCTCTCTCTCTCTCTCTCCCCTCCTCGGTTCTCTTCTCTCTCTCTCTCTCTCTCCTCCTCCTCGGTTCTCTTCTCTCTCTCTCTCTCTCTCTCTCTCCCCTCCTCGGTTTCTTCTCTCTCTCTCTCTCCTCCTCGGTTCTCCCCTCTCTCTCTCTCCCCTCCCCTCCTCGGTTCTCCTCTCTCTCTCTCTCTCTCTCCCTCCTCGGCCCTCTTCTCTCTCTCTCTCTCTCTCCCTTCCTCGGTCCTCTTCTCTCTCTCTCTCCTCTTCTCTCTCTCTCTCTCTCTCTCCTCCCTTCCTCGGTCCTCTCTTCTCTCTCTCTCTCTCTCTCCCTCTCCCGTCCTTACGTTTCTCTTCTCTCTCTCTCTCTCTCTCTCTCCCCCTTCCTCGTTCTCTTCTCTCTCTCTCTCTCTCTCTCCTCCCCTTCTCGGTTCTCTTCTCTCTCTCTCTCTCCCTTCCTCGGTTTCTCTTCTCTCTCTCTCTCTCTTCCTCTCGGTTCTCTTCTCTTCTCTCTCCCTTCCTCGGTTTCTCTTCTCTCTCTCTCTCTCCCCCTTCCTCGGTTCTCTTCTCTCTCTCTCTCTCTCCTCCCTTCCTCGGTTCTCTTCTTCTCTCTCTCTCTCTCCCTTCCTCGGTTCTCTTCTCTCTCTCTCTCTCTCCCTTCCTCGGTTTCTCTTCTCTCTCTCTCTCTCCCTTCCTCGGTTCTCTTTCTCTCTCTCTCTCTCCCTTCCTCGGTTCTCTTCTCTCTCTCTCTCTCTCTCTCCTTCCTCGGTTTCTCTCTCTCTTTCTCTCTCACTCCCTTCCTCGGTTCTCTTCTCTCTCTCTCTCTCTCCCTTCCTCGGTTCTCTTCTCTCTCTCTCTCTCCCTTCCTCGGTTCTCCTTCTCTCTCTCCCCCCCCTCCTCGGTTCTCTTCTCTCTCTCTCCCCCTCCTCTGGTTTCTCTTCTCTCTCTCGGTACTCCTCTCTCTTTCCTCCTTTTCCTCCCACTTCGGTTCTCCTCTCCTCTCCTCTGTTCTCCTCCTCGGTTCACTCCACTCCTCTTCTCTCCGGTCAGCAGTTCTTCCCCCATTCCTCTCCTGTCAGCCATTCATTATCCTTTTTTTTTTTTTTTTTTTTTTTTTTCTTTATACTGCCTGCAGAATCCACTGAATCTCTGTGTGAAGATTGTGCAAGGAAACTGGGGAGTGCAGCTGGACAACAGTGTCTACTCCCAGGAACTGATCGATATAGTTCGGTCCTGTTTAGAGCAGGTGAGTGTATAATCGGATGCTGATTGGTGTAGCACAGTCCTGTGTGTAGTCCGGGAACTGTTATATCATGGCCCTTTTGTGTAGCAAGGTTGTGTGTACTCCAGGAGCAGATCGATGTAGTGTGGTCCTGTGTATAGCAGATCAGTGTGGAGTCCAGTAGCTGATTGATATAGTGTATTGTAAAATTTTAAAGAAATGCTTGAAATATATTGCTCTGTGTGTAATGAATCAATATAATATATGGGTTTCACTTTTTGAATTGAATTACTGAAATAAATTAACTTTTTGATGACACTCTAATTTGAGATGCGCCTGTATTTTCTGGGTGATTTCTGGCCTCATCTGTGTCCTCTCTCCCTAATTCAGGAACCAGAGATGCGACCGAGTGCTGATGAGATCCTGGAGAGGCCTCTGCTGGGCCGGAGGAGGAGGTGAGGCTGGACGGTGTGCATTCTCTGCTATGTGCTGTGTCCTGTAGTCTTCTTTGCAAGATAAAAATTTGCTCTGGTTTCTCCACAGAGAAATGGAAGAACAGGTTTCCCTGCTGAACAAGTCCAATAAACGCTCCAGGTGAGAGTGCTATGGAAGGTGCAACAACCCCTTATGCTCATCCACCGCTGGTGCCCATCCCCAGCTATTACCACGTCTCATCAAGTCCTCTCTCTCTCAGGCCAGGCACACAGTCACAGATGCGCCGATTGCAGTGGTGACATCTCGAAGCAGCGAAGTGTATGTGTGGGGAGGAGGAAAGTCCACTCCTCAGAAACTGGATGTGTTTAAAGGAGGTTGCCGTGCGCGGCAGGTCTGTGCTGGAGATGCTCATTTTGCGGTGGTGACTGTGGAGAAGGAGTTGTACACCTGGGTGGTAAGTGCTGCAAGTTGCTGGGGGGGGGGGGGGGGGGGGTTTGGAAAAACACAAGATGCACCAGGATTTATTACCATAATATATTCTCTTTGCTCAGAACATGCAAGGGGGATCAAAGCTGCATGGGCAGCTGGGACATGGAGACCGTGCCTCTTATAGACAACCAAAACACGTGGAAAAGCTGCAAGGCAAATCTGTGAAACAAGTCAGCTGTGGAGGAGATTTCACTGTGTGTATTACAGGTTAGTTAGTATGAAGGATAGATGAGAAGGTGACAGGGGCTTAGGGGTGGGAGAGGGGCCTGAGGGGTGGATGAGGAGGAGGTGGGAAAGGGGCCTGAGGGGTGGATGGGGAGGTGGGAGAGGGGCCTGAGGGGTGAGAGGGGTGGATGAGGAGGTGGGAGAGGGGTGGATGAGGAGGTGGGAGAGGGGCGAGAGGGGTGGATGAGGAGGTGGGAGAGGGGCCTGAGGGGTGGGATGAGGAGGTGGGAGAGGGGCCTGAGGGGTGGATGAGGAGGTGGGAGAGGGGCCTGAGGGGTGGATGAGGAGGTGGGAGAGGGGCCTGAGGGGTGGGGGAAGGAGGTGGGAGAGGGGCCTGAGGGCTGGGGGAGGAGTCGGGAGAGGGGCCTGAGGGATGGGAAAGGGGCCTGAGGGGGTGGAGAAGGTGGGAGAGGGGGGCCTCGGGTTAGATGAGGAGGAGAATTATAAGAGCATCCTGTTTTTAGAAGGATTGCAATCAGATCTTTAGCCATGATTATGTAGAATTTGACAGTTGATCCAGCCATTGGTTAGTCTGGCTCATGTGGTATGAGCCTGTCTTATCAGGCAGTGATGAGGAAGCAAGCTGTAATAAGATGGTGGAGGGATCCTTCGCTCATAAATCTTGTATGTCTTCTTCAGATGAAGGCCAAGTCTACTCTTTTGGCTCGGACTATTATGGCTGCCTTGGCGTGGGTCAGGCTGAGGGCTCAGAGGTTCTAGAACCCATTTTGGTGGACTTCTTCTTGAATGAGCCAGTTGAGCAGGTGTCCTGTGGTGACAGTCACATCATGGTGCTAACACGAAGCAAGTCTGTGTACTCCTGGGGCTGCGGAGAGTATGGTGAGTGTTCTGTGGTGTTCTCCATATGAGTCCATTCTGGATCTGGTGGGCTGGATGTAATCTATCTGTCCTCTGTAGGTCGCCTAGGCTTGGACTCAGAAGATGACGTCTACTCTCCTCAGAAGGTGACTCTTCAGCTCTATTTGTCCTGTGCAGCCCCTATGTTTTTTTTTTTTTTTTTATCTGTGTACGCTTTGTGCTTTCTGTAATCTCTGCACTCGTCCTCGGCATTGTCGGTTTATTCTTCACATCTAGTTTTTCTCTCTGTTGTCAGGTGGAGGTGCAGCGAGGCCTCTGCATTGTGAATGTCAGCTGTGGCTCAGATGGCAGTTTTCTCCTGACACAGTCTGGTAAAGTTCTTGCCTGCGGTTCAAATGAACACAACAAGCTGGGACTGAACCAGTGCACGGCTGGGATAATTAACCATGAGGTGAAAGTCAGACCACTCCTTCAGTAGAATGTGAGGATTTCACTAGACAGGGTGACCGCATATTGTTTTCCCCCAGCAGGCCTATCAAGAGGTACCATACACCACCTCCCTTACTCTGGCCAAGCAGCTGTCCTTCTATAAAGTGCGTAGCATTTCTCCAGGAAAGACGCACACTGCTGCCATAGATGGTGAGATGCATCTATAGTCTTCCTTCTGTCCCGTCATCTTCCTATGTCACTTACACGTTTTTTTTTGTTTTTTTTTTAAATAGAGCGTGGCAGGCTCTTGACGTTTGGTTCCAACAAGTGTGGCCAGCTAGGTGTTGGAGACTATCGGAAGCATCTGGGCATTAACCTGCTTGGGGGACCTCTTGGAGGGAAACAGGTGATCAGAGTGTCCTGTGGGGATGAGTTCACCATTGGTGCCACAGACGGTGAGTGATCCTGCCTGTGCTAACGGTACTGCATGCTGTGGATCTTTTTAATGAAGGATTTCTCGCCTCAGATAATCACATATTTGCCTGGGGAAATGGAGGAAATGGACGTCTAGCCATGACTCCTAATGAACGACCTCAAGGCTCTGACATCTGTACCTCGTGGCCTCGTCCAATATTTGGCTCATTACATCATGTGCCTGAGCTGTCTTGCCGTGGCTGGAACACCATCCTCATTGTGGGTGAGTAGTTGGGAGTTGTCTCTTGTTGGTGGGGTATGATGCGCTTTCTGCCTCTCGTACTAAGATTGCTCTGCTTTCTTCTCATAGAGAAAGTCCTCAACTCAAAGACTATCCGGTCAAACAGCAGTGGCCTGTCTATTGGAACCCGTGAGTGATTGGCTGGGAAGGATGGGGGTCTATCGAACCCCATGAGTGGTTGGCAGGGGGAGGGTTGTATCGGAACTAGTGAGTGGATAGGGGAGAGGGTTTGAAGGCTTGGGGAGTCCCTTGCATCTCCTATTCAACCAGAGCCTTTCTGCTGGGTATCTCTGATAGAGATGAGGATATTTTTGCCTTACAGTTGCCCAGAGCTGCTCATCAGGGGGATCTGCACAAGTCGAGGTTGACAGTGCACGAGAGTCCCTGGCTTCTGAGCCCAGTGATGGTGGGTTCCGTGGAACCATGGAGGCAGAGCCAGAGACCAGCCCATTTAACACCACAGAAAATATGGAGAGCAGTGCTTGTCCTAGCTGGTTGCGGCAGGTAATGGGACCACAACAGATTCATTGTTTGTGTTTTGATTTTGCTCCAGTTTTCTGTGTGTGTATTTTGGATGCTGTAAATCTTGGGTTTGTACATCTGCAGGAGCTGGAAGAAGCGGAGTTTATCCCAATGCCAGAGACCCCATCTTCTGCCAGTATGGAGTTGTCACAGAATATGTCGGCATCTCTTCCACAGCACACAGAGGCTTCTCTGCCAGCAAAGATGTCACAGAGTACAGAGGAGGTTCTGCAGGTGAGAGGCCATGTGAAGGATGGATGGGGAAGTACAATGTAAGCTCTACAGATGAGAGGGATGCTATGTGCAGGAAGAACAGGGGTGCTGTATAGAGGAGGCTCTATAGGTGAGAGGAAGGCCATGTGGAAACTGACTGGTGAAGATTACGGAGGAATATGTGCATGTAAGAGGCAGGCCATGTGGAGGCTGGATCGGGAGATTGATCAGATATCCCTCGTTCCCTTATCCTGTCCAGCTCTGCATTCCATACTATATATGAACTGTTACTCTTGGTTTGCAGGAGCAGCGGGACCCCAGCTGTGCATGTAGTGCTCTGCAGGAGGAGGTACAAAGACTGCAAGCTCTTGTGTCATCCTGTATGAGTGAACAGGAGAACCTACGTCGGGAGAACACACAGCTGACACGAAGAGTTCAGGAGCTCGAGGACAAATTACAGGTGCTGATGCAGGTGAGTGTCCAATCTGCTGTATGTTTTATAATACAGAGGGCTGTTGTGCTATATACGTGTGCATTTGTAATATGAAAGGGATGTGTGTTTTTTACTGCACAGACCAGAGCCCATTCTCATCATGACAGCTTGTGTGATATAACAAAGGAAAGTTTGCTGTCCAATCTGACAGCACTGGGGATAGGGGATTGGGTATGCTTTCCAGCCTGATGCTGTAATGGTGGTTGAGAGGTCGGGGAAGAGTTTTCTGCCACTTTTACATGTAAAAATCAGTATCTTTTTGCTTTAAAACTACTTGGACTCCCCCCAAAAAAATTATATATGTTTGTTTGGAAAGAGTACACTTTTTTAACATTTTGATGCACAAAAGCACAATATAATACCCAATGATTTGGTACAATTTTTAAGCTGATGTTAAGCCGAGTAAATAGATACCAAACGTGTCACGCTTTAAAATTGCACACGCCCGGGAAATGGCAACAAACGGCATACATTTTTATTATCCATAGGCAACGCTTTTTAAAAGCATTTACAGGTTATCACGTTCGATTTACAAGAGGTCTGGTGCTAGAATTACAGCCCTCAATCTGATGTTGGCGGTGATACCTCATATGTGTGGGAGGATCACTGTTTGCACGTATGCGGGACTGAGGCTTGCATTCGCTTGCTTTGCCCGTGGGGATGGAGGCATGTTAACATTTTTTTTTATTTTTACTTTTTCACTTTATATTCCCTGTTTATAATAAAAAAAAGTGATCAAAAAAATGTTAAATATTTCCTGTGATGGGCAATAAGCAGAGACAGGTACACTTTATGGAGAGATCTGGGTCTGTTAGGGTGTGGGGGTAGAGGTGTGTACTTGATCCTGACTCTGCGGGGGTGTTGGCTGGGGGGGGGGGGGGGAGTGTTTTCCAGCCTGAGGGAGAAAATGATGAGGGAAGAGTGTGCTCTCCAGCCAGATTTCCTGAGCAGTGACAGTGTAGCTGTAGACTGATGTTGGTGTGATGTTTTTCCAGCAGGGTCAGACGGTCAGCCAACATGGAGAGGCCATACAGACACTTCAGAGACAGGTAAGTGACCGTTGGGGGGCCACACACAATACACCACATTGTCAGGATACAAAGAGGCAGATGGTCAATTCTGTATGTTGCTGACAGGCAGTGACTGACTCAAGTCATCACATGCACAAATTTCATTTTAGCAATTCGAAGATCAGTTTGCTCAATTTCAGATCTGTGTGGAAGCATGGAGCTGTCATTCCCTGGCTGTGTCCATCACTCAGGAGTTATACAGAGATACGCATGAAATGTCCTGCAACCCACAATCCCCTCTAGGTGCCAGTTCACATATATGCGGATTGGATGCAGTTTGCCACATCCCATCCAACAATATTGTGTCCTATGGTGCCTGTCCACATATGTCCGGTGCACCTGTGGTTCCGTTTGAAAGAGTCCTGTACGATTTCTGAGCAGTGTGGTCAGGTTCAGGTGCGGATTACAGGCTTTTGACTTCTGTGGGAGCCATTTGTAAACTACATATGTGTGAACAGGATAAGATCCTGGGCTAATTCTGTCCTGAACCTGATGTAAAAAAAAATACCTTCGATTGTACACCCCTTGAGGGTTAGGGACTGATGTGAATGTACAATGTATGTATATGTAAAGTGCGACGTAAATTGATGGCGCTATATAAGTACCTGAAATAAATAATTATTGTATACAGGAAGTGGTAATATACTGAAAGGACAACAATGTCAAGGGCACATCATATAAAGTACAGCAAGGTCCAGTCTCACTGAATATCTGTAATGGGATACCTAGGCCTCCAACTGGCTGACGCGTTTCGAGGACTTGCAAGTCCTCAAAACGTGTTGGAAGTCTAGGTATCCCATTACAGATATCATTGAGGGAGACTGGACCTTGCTGTACTTTATATGATGTGCCCTTGACACTTTGAGTATATTACTTCTTCCTTTTATACAATAAATTTATTTTTTAAAGGTAATGCACTAGCCCTGTGCACCATTTGTTTTCTTTGCATGCAGTACATTGTGGATTTCCCTGGTCCATTGATGGCAGCAAGGTGTGCATTTGTTAGGACATCCCATATGTGGTTGTAGCCTCTGCGAGTCCATCTTCCAGCGCAGGAGTATATGGACATGCCATTTTCGATGCTGAACCTGGCATGAACCACTGAAAAACTACTGTGTCAATTGGCTGTGAAACCTCAGCTTCAATCCGCACCGCACAAGTACGAATCGGCTCTGAAACACACAGAAGCAGGAAGTGTTGCGTATCGTCTTCCCTGTACTCCTCCAGTATAAATGGAAATGCTTGTGGCCTCGCCCCCATTTTGTTAGCCAAAATATGGTTGGCTCAAGCCTGCTTCTGAAGCAAATGTAGAAGGTGGAATAGAACTGACAGCTGCTATTGAAAGAAACCGAGGGTCCTCCAGTTCGCACCGCCAGGAACGCCGCACACACTCTGAAATTTTCATCCATATTCAGCCAATTGCATACAGGTTTTGACTACATGGATGAACATTTCTGTTGACACTGAATGATCTGGTCTCTTTTGATTGTGTGAATGATCTGGTCTCTTTTGGGTGTTTTTGTCAACATATCTGGTACCTTTTACAAATAGAGGCCTCCATGCCTAATTCACTAATTCCCCCCCCCGCCAACCCGCTTAGTTCCCTATGTATCGCTTTCCTGGAATGGGCAAAGTGACAGGTTCTCTTTAACCACTTCCCACCCGGCCTATTGTAGCTGGGTGCCCTGTGACATCTTCCCAGAACGAGCCTCTGCCGCGATCTGTCACCAGCTGTGTCCACCAGACAACGCTGATGACTGATCACTAGACCGGCCCACTGCCGGCACCATGTGATTGCTGTGATCAGTCACACCAGATCACATGACCATTGTAAACAATGAATGGCTTCGATTCATTGATCACATGGTACAGACAGGGCCATACACAGCTGATCTGTACTATACGATTTAACTGTGGCTAATCACAATACACACCAAATCAATTTCAATCAGTGAAAATGGTTGCTTATACCAGTGAAATTCACTGGTATACGCAATCCTAATGTGTAGAGTAGTAAAATGTTACTATGGCAACATATTGCTTTGGCCAAAGTGTGGTAATAAATAAAAAAAATACACACACACACACACACACACACACACACACACACACACACACACACACACACACACTAATGTAATATACTTTTTTTTTTTTTTTTTTTTTTACTGTCATCAGTGTCCCTGAGTACCACCACATTAATTAAATGATGACGCTGTACTGCACTGGTGAAAGTATATAAAGAATTTTTTTTTTTTAATTTTTCAAAAAAATTACAACTATTAAAAAAAAAAAAAACCACCATGCCTCTCACTAAATACCTTGTACGGTCTACTTTGCAAAAAGGGGTCATTTGGGGGATGTTTGTACTGTTCTGACATTTTTAGGCCTCAAGAAATGAGATCAGCCATCAGTACATCAGGATTGATTTTCATATAATGTATACCATAGTTTGACTCCGTACGTTTCCTACAGACTAAATAAAAAATTATTTCTGTTATTTTCATCAAAGAAATGTAGCAGAATACATTTTGACCTAAATTTATGAACATTTATTTATTTGTAAAATTTTATAACAAACGATAAAAAAACTTTTTTTTTTTCAAAATTTTCGGTCTTTTTAATTTTATTTAGCAAAAACGATTGAATACCACCAAAAAGCTCTATTTGTATGAAAATGTGAAAAGAATTTTATTTGTGTACAGTATTGCATAACCACACAATCGTCCTTCAAAGTGCGACAGCGCTGAAAGCTGGCCTGGAAGGGGGTGAATGTGCCTGGTATTGAAGTGGTTAAAAGCTGTTGAAATTGTCGTATGATCAGAATAATTCTTTTCACACACAAAAAATAATTCTGCTTGAAAGCAAAAAATAGCTGTTTTGAAGTTACTTTGATTTATGTTTCTTATAATTATTTGTCTGCTGAAAACTAGGAAGCTTGGAAAAAAAAAAAAAAAGCCGGGGGGGGAGGGAAGGAGATGCTGGTCAGCTTGTGACTTGTTCTGCAATCATTACTGTACTGTTTATTGTATACTTAGCGCTGTGTACTGTCTCTCCTGTAGGTGGCGCTTTGTGTGAAAGGATTATCGCCAGCGGCTGGCAGTGCTGAGACCTCCCGGGAGGATTCGGATGCAGAGTCATGGTGTTTCTTGGGTGCTGACCCCTGTCGTTCTGCCTCTGGGACCCCTATGTGACGACCCCTGCAATGGACACAAACTTTTTTTTTTAGTGCCTTATGAATACAGTCCAGACGCCTGCCTCACATGTGGAACATTTATTGCCGGACTGGACAATGGTTGTGCACGGCCTTTGCTGTAGAGGCTGAGTGCTATTACTGTGGATGGCTGCCGGAACAGTGAGCAAGAGCACCGCCTCAGCATCTGACACACTGTACACAGCTCAGTATTCAGCTTCTTGGCAATTACTCACAGTAACATTGAAATAAAACACTGTGTGGATGCCATGTCAGCCTATTCCTGACCATGTATAGTGTGGTGGGGAGCAGATATGTGAATGGTCTGGTCTAACCGCTCCCTGGCCCATATAGAATTTATATAAGAATAATGTCTCTTCTCTGTATAATAGTCCGATCTCCAAAAGATTCTGCTATGACCAGGTGGGACCAAGTGTAGGATTTCTTTTTCATCCACTGAGGGACACAGGAATTCAGATACTGTTAGGTTATACTGTCATCCACAGGGAAAAATGGACACTGGCATACAAACAAAGTGGTCTAGCCCAATATACCCCCTCCTACTCTCACCATGATTTGTTTCGCTAGTGGCCTAGTAGGATGGATGCCCTTTCCTGCACTTTGCCAAGAGATGTTTAATTATTTTTTGCTAGCTTTTAATCGTTGCTTGGGATGGTCTGTTCATAGTAGCGAGCCACACTGGCCTTCCCTCAGCACTAGCCTTGCAGGCCATACCTGGACTCTGCTGAAATGGACCTGACACTAGCCATGAATGTGACCTTGGGCACTGCATTGTGGAGCTTTGCAGACCTGCGTGTACTGCCTTAACAGTGGAGTGCTTTCTGGGTTGGGAGCCATAGCATATAACGGGTAAAAGTATTGAACACCTCACAATATATTTCTGAAGGCGCTATTGACATTAAATTTTCACCAGATGTTAGTAACAACCCATGCCATCCATACATACAAAGAAACCAAAACAAATAAGTTCAGAAATTATGTGAAATAAAATGGAATGACACAGGGAAAAAGTATTGAACACGCTAATGGAAATTTATTAAATACTTTGTACAAAATCCTTTGTTGGTAACGACCGCTTCAAGAAACTAGTCGTGTGCATTACTTCAGTGTGTTTTGTTTTTTTTTTTGCCCATTCTTCCACTCAGTCTTCAAATTTTGAAGGTTCTGTGGGCCTCTTCTATGAACTCTGATCTTTAGTTACTTCAATAGATTGTCTGTTGGATTCAAGTCAGGTGATTGGTTGGGCCATTCTAGCAGCTTTATTTTCTCTCTTTGAAACCAATTGAGTTTCCTTGGTTTTGTGTTTGGGATCATTGTCTTGCTGAAATGTCCACCCTCATTTCATCTTCATCATCCTGGTAGATGGCAGCAGATTTTTATCAAGAATGTCTTGGTACATTTTTCCATTTATCCTTCCTTCAAGAAGATAAAGTTTGCCAGTGCCGTATGCTGAAAAACAGCCTCACACCAAGATGTTCCCATGTACTGTTGGGATGGTGTTTTTGGGGTGATGTGCAGTATCATTTGACCTCCAAACGTGTGTATTATGGCATCCAGAGTTCCATTTTGTTCTCATCTGTCCAGAATATATTCTCCCAGGATTTCAATTGGTTTATCTAAATGTTGTGCAGCAAACCTTGAACAAGCTTCAGCATGCTTTTTCTTCAGCAATGGAGTCTTGTGTTGTGACCATGCATACAGGCCATGGCTGTTCAGTGCATTACTTATTGTTTTCTTTGAAACAATTGTACCTGCTAATTCCAGGTCTTTCTGAAGCTCTCCATAATAGGTCCTTAGCTCTTGGACAACTATTCTTATTCTTTTGACTCCTCTGTCAGAAATCTTGCAAGGAGCACCTGGTCGTGGTCGGTTTATGGTAAAATTATGTTCTTTCCACTTCTGGATTGTGGCCCCAACAGTGCTCACTGAAACATTCAGAAGTTTAGAGATCCTTCTGTAACCAATGCTATCAGTATGTTTTGCAACAAAAAGGTTGCAAAGGTCTTGATTAAACTCTTTGCTTTTATGCATTGTGAGATGTTTCTTGTGTGACACCTTGGTAACGAGACACCTTTTTTTTATAAGCCATCAGTTGAAACTGAACCAGAGGATATTAATTTGCACTGACAAGGGGCAGGATTGCTAACTACTGATAGATATCAGCTGGTGTTTTGGCTTTCCATGCCCTTTTGCACCTCCCTTTCTTCATGTGTTCAATACTTATTTTCCCTGGGTCATTCCATTTTATTATACGCAACCTAATTTCTGAACTTACTTGCTTTGGCTTCTTTGTATGCATATCTATGGATAGGGTGGGCTGTTACCAACGTGGTGAAAATTTCATGTCAATAGCACCTTTAGAAATATATTTACCTAGAAAAATCGGGACGTGTTTAATACGTATTTTACCTGCTGTAGCTCCAAGTGTGACCCTGGCTTCTAAGACTCACTTTGTGAGTATGGCCGTTAGGCACCCAGTGGTGCTATTGGAAGGTATCTACTGGCAGTTTATCCTTTCATATTTCCTATCACTATAAGTTTTCGCTATGGTAAGAGTTATAGTTGAGGGACAGAGCGTGTCCGTTCCGTGGAGTGCAGCACACAAACACACCACTTTGCTAACTAGTAGAATAAAGCACAATGTTCCTGTTGCATGTCTACAGTGACCTGGTCACCACTGACCATCTGAGCCTCAACAGCGCCTTGGGTTTGTGAATACTTGAGACCTTTCTCACAATGTTACACCACTACACTCTTCCAGTATAAACGAGATGCTGATGGTATTGATGTGGTGGCCTCTGCGCCCTGGCTCCCTTCCCATTAGTGAAAACATGGGTGCTGTAAGCCTGCTTCTGGGGCAAATCTAGAAGATGGAATAAAACAGACAGCTGGTATAGTGAGTGAAACTCAGATGATCAACTAGCAGAGATGCCACACATTCTGCAATTTTCAGTGACCCTGCAGTTATTTGGTCAGATGCAGCAGAGCCCCCAGTCCTGTCATCTTGGGGTAGGTCCAAAATTCCTATTTTCCTTGTGCTGACATTTCCCACCCAAACCTCGTACCTATATAATGGGTGCCTGTCCTGCATTGCTTACCCATATCTGCAGGGATATTTCACACACTAGTCCCATAGTGCACAGGTGTCAGCGTCGACGGGCTGGAGGAGGGCAGGGCCTGTTCTTAATTGTTGCACACATGGGTATATGGCGTTCAGCAGGGCGTGGAGCGAAGCGTCGACTGCAGTGAGGGCAGGTCACATAATCTGGATTTTCCGCTGGCGGAGGTGGAGGCAAGTCGGATGGTTTCCCTCCTTTGCTTACAACGTTCTGCACCATGCGAGCCTGACGAATTGTGCGAATGAAAGATTCGTGCTTCTGACGCCATAAACTGCCTTTGACCTGAAGTGAAGAGAAAACATCAAACGGCAAGTTCAGAAATGACAACAGAATTGGAAACAGTCATTCCAGAACCATAAATACCAGGCAGTGATATACAGTATATGATTTATGGCACTTGGTTACAATGGTATAACTAGTGGACAGCAATATGTATGTTTGACACCCAGGTACAATGTTTTAACTGGTGGGCAGGGTTATTAATCGTACATTCCAGGACACAAAGGACTTATTTTAAGGACCACATGGCTTAGGCTGTTACCTTCAGGTGAAAGGACACTGGCCAGAAAAAGTAGGAATAACGGCCTAGGCATGACCCCTCCCAGCTCAACTAAGCCTCAGGTTTTAGCTAGTGACCTTAGGTGATCAATGCGTACTTTCTCAAGATCTCCTTTTGTGAACACTAATCCCATGCATTCTGGTCTCTTCTTAACACTGGATGGGGCATTGGAGGGCTTTACATGGATCTGTCACTATGGGGATCCAGTAGGTACTGTACCCGGACTCCGTTTACAAGTGGGGGGACAGCTTGTACCAGGTGACCTCAGTGACAGGATGGATGAAGTTCTGCAGCTCGGACTGCTGTGTGCCTCTGGGCCAAAATGGAGAAGATGACAGAATTCCCCTACAATGTCCCCTTGGGCTGTGTTCCCTTAAAAGAAGAGCTACACTACACCAGTGGTGTTTAAAAGGGGCGTACCAGCACATGCACAATGAGATCATCCTGTGTGTTGCTGGTCCTCTGCACACAGAAACATGAGATTCCAGGCTCCTGTAGCACAGCATGGCCAGCGGTTCATCTACTGCCTAAGCACAGAGTGCAGCAAGTGTCAGACACTTGTTCACGAGGGTGACTGTGACTTAGGTGTTGTGGCTTCTGCCTACACTCCTTTCAGCTAGGTGGCCACTCCCCTTGGAGTAAAATAAGCCTACAGATCCTCATCAAACCATGGTCATGCACAGGCCGAGTGATGGAGTGGGCACCCAAATCCATCAGCTCCTGAAAGGGTCACAACAGTTCTAAATCCCTGCCCTTATCTGGTATTTCCACAGTTTCATGGATACAATTCTCTGCTGCCTTTGTGGTGAGGAAAGTATTGTCTGCAGCCATTTCTGGTCTGCAAGATGAGCTCTCTCATGGGCTCCTACGGGCTTGGAAATTTCCTTTCCCTTCTTGCAGTTGAAGGAACATCCTCACGATGAAGAATCTGTCAAGGATTGTGAATCCTTTGTAGACAACTCCTCCAAGGAGGAATATCTTGGTCCAGGGCTGTCTCAGACACAGAAGACCACAGTGAGTTTCCTGGCAGTTGTGATCTACACTAACCTGAATCATCTTCACCTAAAATCACTCACTTTGGGTCCTGGCTGCAGGTAAAACAGCCCAAGTCCTTTCCAGCTTCTCCCACTTGCAGAACGTAACGTATGTCAATTGGGCTCACCCGAAGAAATTGTTTCCGCTTCTAAAGTGTTTTACTCTAATGTACCCCATGGATGAATAATTCCACAAAAAATGTGATTCTTCAGTTATTGATCCAGCCATTTCTTACTTCAATAAGACCCTAATGGTCCCAGTGGAAGAGGTCCTGGTCTTTAATGACACCATGGGCAAGAGGTTAGAGGCCCTAGTCAAGGCTGCAGCTCTGCAGCCTGTGGTGGTCAGTTTGACAAGCCAAAAGGTGTGGCCAGAGTGTAAAGCACTGTTCCAAAGAAATGGAGCCAGGGGATCGGGCAGTTCCTGCTCACAATTTGATTGACGGCAGAAGGAACCATTGGCTCCTACTGCTGCCAGATCTTCCTGTGAGAAGAGAAAGACAAGGGAGAAGACCTGTAGATGAGCACAAGCACTCGATCGATACAGGACAAGAGTAAATGTTCTGGGGGGCACTGCAAGTGGCAAAATGTTTTTTTTATCTTAATGCAGGAAATGCATTAAAGGTAAAAAGTTTTAGTTTTACAACCACTGAAGGACAGATCTAGGCCTTGACCATTCTGTTTCAGAAACCTATTGAATCTCATTCTTTGGTAAAAGCCAGGGTGTCACATAGATTGTTACCCCTTTGGGACCATAATTTGGTCTTCTCTGTTTAGCAGTTTTCCCCTTTTGAGCCTCTGCGAGAGGTTCCCTTGTTGCTTCTTACACACAAGGTTGTCTTCTTGGTTGCCATTGCTTTGACTTGCAAAGTGTTTGAGATATCTGCGCTTACTTGCAAGGAACCATTTATGGTTCTTCACCAGGATAAGGCAGTGTTGAGTCCCCCCCCCCTTTTTTTTTTTTTTTAACCTAAAGTAGTTTCTTCTATCCACCTAAATCAGAACACTGATGCCATTTTTGTCCAAAGGAAAAAGGTAGATAATTCATGCTTTAGATGTTCAAATTTATCTGAAGTCTATAACTTTGTTTTGACAGTCTGATTCCCTGTTTGTTCTTCCTATGCAAGGGCCAGGCTACTTCTTGATCTACTATTTCTGGTGAATTTGTCAGCTCATTTCCCAGGCCTATGGTATCAAGGGTAAGGTTCCTCCTTTCCTGGTCAAGGATCATTCCACCAGGAGTGTTAACAATTTCTGGGCAAATCAGCATCAAACTTGTTGTTCAAGCTTGTAGGGTTGCTATCTAGTCTTCCTTTCACACATTTAATAAATTCTAGTAGGTAGGCATTGGTGCCTCTGAGGACACCTATTTTGGCCAGAAGATCTTGCTGGCGGCTTTGTAATGGGTTTCCTCCCTGTTTTTTTTTTTGGCATTATTGCTCACGTTCAGTGCTTTGGGACATTCCAAATGAATATGAAGTCCTCTTATATAAAATTATGAAGTTTGGATGTATGGTTTACCTGTAAAGTCTTTTTTTCATGATGTACATCACAGGATACAGAGACCCCCTACCCCTTTTGTCTGTTCCTCATTGTTTGCTGAAAAACGGAGGCTTTTCTGAGCTGGGAGGGGTTATACCTGGATGGGGATTCCTGCATTTTTTTGGCTAGTGTCCATTCTCAGGTAGTGATGAGTAGGAGTAAGTCCTCTATGTTCTGTTAAGTGCTCCAAGAACAGGATTTTACAGGTAAAGTACAAATTGTAACCAAGTGTCATATATTATAAATTACACTTAAAGGGCAGTGATATATGATGCAGGCTCCACAGACAGCTATTACACACTACATGTTAGTGAGAAGAGATGCAGTTACCTGTGGGGGTGGAGGTGGGTCTTTCGTTCTCCCTTTGGTGTGTAGATATTGCTCCAGGTCGGTCCCTTTAGCCCTAGCTTTGGAAGAATCAAACACCTTCCTTTTAGAGTTTAGCATCTTCTGGCAGACTTCCATATGTTTCTCTAGACGCTGCACCATAAAACGTCGCCCACACAGTTGGCATGAAACCAAGTCCTCTTCATTGTCCTCCTCTAGGTGTCCGACAATGGAGGATCTGTTGGTTTTGAGCACCTTGAGGTGTCATCGTGATATGGGATGAGCCATTAGTCAGGGATGGTGGAGTAACATTCTCGGTTTGTCTGATGTGCGTAGTGTTCCTATCTGAGGTCGGCTCCTGGATCTGACTTTTACCTTCTATGTCCTGATAGAATCGGTCCTCCACATGATATCTGTCTTCCCTGTCTTTCTCCTCGCTATAGCCAGAGTAATGGTAGGTCTTTGTTGTCTTGTTCTGGGTTGTGGCTGCCCTCACCCTCCTGGTGTCCTGAATCTCTTGGACTCTTCTGTCTTCTATTTCCGCCTCTTCTCTCTCTCTCTGTATGCGGCGCAGTTCTTCCTCTGTTTTTCGCAGCTTTTCTCTTAGCAGTGCTTCTTTCCTGCGAATTTCAGCTTCTAGGCTGGACTCCTTTTTCTCCAACTGTTGCCAAGGGTTTGTCCGGGCGGGGCCAGATTTGGACCTTACCTGCTCTTGTACTGGAAGAGGTTTGTACCTGTTAGCTGACGGAGGGTGACAGCTGTCTGGCATGTGTGTGGTGGCCTTGTGGTGATAGACTGGTTTGAGTGGATGTGCACGATCTATGCCAGCAGTCCTCTTGGTTACTGTCCAGTTCGAGGCCCATGCGCTTTCCTCTGGAGCCCAGGGACCTGAATATGGGTGCTGGTGGGCTTCATAGAATGTCTTGTGCTGAGGAGGATAGGCAGTGTACAGGGAAGAGTTAGTGGCCCTGTGTGAGATGCGTTCTTGTTGCTGTTTCAGTGTCATCATCTTCTCCTCTTTGGCTCTGAGGGTTCGCTCTTGGTAGTCGTTCTTTAACATCTCCAGTCGGGACAACATTTTAGGGGCTTGCAGTGTAGGAAGCCTAGATTCAGCTAACCCCTCAGGGTATGCGTTTGGAGCCATCTTGAGCCTTGCCATGCTGACCCTAGGGAGAAACTAAAATGTTACAGAATTCAGTATTCGTGATCAGTGTAAGGAGATCTTTACATAGCTACATTCTGTGTGTACAAAGTGGAGTCATATGGATTCTTTGAGGTTAGCGAATAATGGTATTATGGAGGGCTTGGACTGATGGAAGAAGTGATGAGATCAGGACTGAGACTTATCAATATATCATCTTAGAGGAGATGGTGATATACAGAGATGTATTCTGTATACTGGTTATAATCAGTGGGCAGTGTATAAATCGGGTACCTAAAGCTCCATACAGTTGGGAAAAATTGTGATATATGGGGGAAATGACAGTATTTGTGTAGAGTGGCTGAATGTAATGAAGATAGAGAAATCTTTGCTGCATATGTTCTATTGCGATGGTGTGGAGGGATAAACTTTGGTTTATCTACAGCCCTCTCTCCTCTACAGCAATCTAAAATACACAGATTAAAGACTATTTCTCAACTGTTGCAGGGAGGAGGCAGGGATCGGATGTCACAAATTGCTCAGACAGCGAAGTGTAATTTGAGATCTCAGTGGATGGAATTGACCCCCCCAAACAATCTTCTAAGGGAACACGAGGCTGTCAACCACCTTCTGTGTGCTGTGGTGGGGGGGCTGGGGGTTGTCCCTCTCTCCCAGGATCCAGAGGTGTGGTGCCCACACTGACAATCAGAACTGACTCTTGCATAAGGAAGAGAGAAAAAGACAGAAATCACATAAGTGCTTTGGAATGATGCAAGTACACACTATAGAGGGATGCACTTTTGTTTTTTTATTTCAGTTCAGAGGTTTACAACCATTTTTAAGCTGAACTCCAGGCAGTTCTAAAACACACAAAATAATGCAACTCTGAAATCATGGATACATCAAAAAATGTGTTTAAGTGCAAGTACCTGGACTTGTGTAGCCCATGTATGCTGTGACCATGTACAGTGCATGCACACCATATGCGGAGGCTGGCTGTTTGTCGTGTGTGTATGTCGTGTGCAATGGCTGTATGTAGTGCATTTAAGACAGGCACTGTGACTGTTACTGTGAACACTGCGTGTGCCGTATATGTATGCTGTTTGAACACTGTGCTGTGACTGTGTGTAGTGTACTGAACTGGTTCCTGCCCGGCCTATTGTACAATGACAGTCAGGTGGGACCACCATCGTTCTGAAAGGACGTCATATGACATCCTCCCATTCTTGCTGTGCAATGCGCGCCCCTGGGGACACAGTGCATCACTAATCAAGGTAAAGAGCCAATGACGTCGACTCTTTACCATGTGATTAGCTGTGTCCAGCGCTGTCACTGTCTGATGAAAGGAAAGCCGAGAACCAGCTTTCTTGTGACAGGACATTTACGCAGATAACTGGGGCACTGATCATCAGTACAGCATATCAGTGCCACCTCATCAGTGGCCAGCTATGCCGCCCCATAAGCAAACATCAGTGAAGAAGAAAATTACTTATTTGCTAAATTTTATAACAAACAAAAAAGTTGGGTTTTTTTTCCCCCCAATTTTCGGTCTTTTTTTCATTTATTAAGCAAAAAATAAGTGGTGATTAAATAATGCCAAAAGCTCTATCGGTCTAAAAAAAAAAAAAAAAAAAAAAAAAAAAAAATTTAGCTATAGCTTTGCTGCGCAATTGTTATTTAAAGTACTACAGCACTGAAAGCTGAGATTTGGCCTGGGCAGGAAGGAGGTGAAAGTGCACAGCAGGCAAGTGGTTAAAGTGTCATTAAACCTACATCATTATTACAGCATGTACTGACAGTTATTACATGCTGTTCATACTCAGTCACTATGGGGTTAGTTTTCTGTATTCTGCAAAATACTTGATTGATCCTGCTGTTCACTGTCCCTTCTTCCTTGTCCACATCCCCACTGCAGCCTGAGATTGTGCAGACCAGACATTGCCACATCTACTAAGCATGCTCCAATTTCAGTTCCCTTCTAGCTTCACAGCTAGACACACTGGTATACAATGGATGGCATGAAAGGAAGCCATCCATTGTATACAAATGTCATGTGACCTGCTGTGATTGGTCACATGGTACTGGCAACGGGGCTGGTACTCAGATCTGTCATCGGCCGTGTCCGAGGTACACGGCCAGAGACAGATCACGCCGCTGCGTGGCTCTGCGGGCATGCAAACTGCGCATGCCCAAAAGGATGCCATGTGGCGCCCACCCGGTGGGACAAGGGGTTTTGCAGGCCACCATCTGGCTATAGGCTGGGCAGGAACCTGTTATTCACCACTGGGATTTTTATTTTTTTTTTTGCTATATAAATGAAAAAGTCCAAAAATTAAAAAAAAAAAAAAAAGGTTTTTCTTATAAAATTTTGCAAAAAAATAACCCAAATGTGTTTGTAAAAAAAATATATATATATTACATAGTGTCACCCTAGCAGTACAGTATCACCATGGTACTACTTGTGGGGGGTCATGAAGATTTTTTTTTTTTTTACGCCAATTGCTTTTACACCCATTTAGGCTGTAACAGCAATCATTTCTCCTCCTCTCTGACTGCATTCTTGCAGCCATTGAGAAATACTGTGAGAGCTGTGATTGGTCACAGCTTGTCACATGGTACAAGGCTGTTAGGAATAGCCCTGTACCATGTGACCTCTGTGATCAGTCACATTTTTCACACATAGTAAGCAATGATGTCAGAAGTGACATCTTGCTTTCTACTATTGATATGATCACTGATTGGCCAATCAGTGATCACATGATCAGGACCTCACACAGAGGTTCCGTAAGACGATCAGTGGGCACCGGATCGCGGTGCTGCGTGCTCCCAAGGAATAAAAGGGCCACCCGCCCCTGGACTGCCACTGTCCGGCCATTTATATACATGGGCCAGATGGGAAGTGGTTAAAGGATGTTTACCTTTGGAACATGTTGCACTTGTTTTTTTTAGGGTGGAACATGTAACATGTTCCAGCATCTGCAGCTTTTCCCCCTGATTATTATTATTATTATTATTATACAGTATTTATAAAGCGCCAATAGTTCACTCAGCGCTGTACATTACAAAGGGGGACAGAACATGTGACAGAACAATACCAATACAATGCAAAACATGAGGGGATCGAGGGGCCTGCTCTTTCGAGCTTACAATCTAGAAGGGATGGGATAGTGGTACAGGAGGAGATAGCTGTGGGGGATGGAGTGGTAGGAAGAGTGGAGGAGGTCAGCAAGTTAGCAGGGGGTGAGGTATGCTTCCCTGAAGAGATGGGTTTTCAGGGTGCGCCTAAAGGAGAGGAGAGTAGGTGATAATCTGATGGGTTGGGGCAGGGAGTTCCAGAGGATGGGTGACACCCTGGAGAAGTCCTGGAGGCGGGCATGGGAGGAGGAGACCAGGGAGCTAGAGAGAAGGAGGTCTTGTGAGGAGCGGAGTGTGCGTGCTGGGTGGTACTTGGATATTAGGTCGGTGATGTAGTTCGGGGCAGTGTGGTGGACAGCTTTGTACTTCAGTGTTAGGATTTTAAATTTGATCCGTTGCGCAATCGGAAGCCAGTGGAGGGATTGGCAGAGGGGGGTGGCGGAAACGGAGCGTTTGGAAAGGTGAATGAGTCTGGCAGCCGTATTCAGGATCGACTGAAGCGGGGATAGCCAGCGGCGAGGCAGGCCAGTGAGGAGGGAGTTGCAGTAGTCGAGTCGTGATATGATGAGGGAGTGGATGAGCTGTTTAGTGGTTTCTGGGGTTAGGAACGTGCGGATTTTGGCGATGTTGCGGAGGTGGAGTCTACATGAGTTTGTTAAAGATTGGACTTGGGGCTGGAAGGATAGGTTGGAGTCCAGAATGACACCAAGTACTCTGGCCTGCAGAGCGGGTTTGATATTGGCGTTGTTGGATGTGATGTAGAAGTCAATGGGGGGGTGGGGTTCGGGCTGGGGGGAAGACAAGGAGCTCGGTTTTGGAGAGATTCAGTTTAAGGAAGTGGAGCGACATCCAATCTGATATGTCGCTCAGTAGGTGTGTGATTTGG